TGAGAGAGGGATCTGTGGTTGGTATATAAAATGAAAAACATTTTCTTTAAAAATTTCACCAAGTAAACCTGAGTTTAATTCCTAGGACCCACATGTTGAAAGGAGAGAATCAACTCACTCAAATTATCTTTTGACCACTTATGCACTGTAGCATAGGCATATTCACACCACACAGACAGAATAAATGTAACAAAAAATAATTTAAAACTAGTTTAAAAATAGATCTACCATAAAGTAGCTATAGCATTCCTGGATATTTACCCAAGAGACTCCAAGTCAGCATATTATAGAGATGATTGCATATTGGTGTTTATTGCAGCACTGTTCACAATAGGTACATTGTGTAACCAACCTAGCAATGAAGCAACAAAAGAAAATACAGAAAAGGTGGTATACATACACAATGGATTTTTTTCAACCATAAAGGACAAAGATGTCATTTGCAGGAAAAATGGATGCAACTAGAGATAATCATATTAAGTGAATTGAGCCAGTCATAAAAACAAATATTGTATATTTTCTCTCAGGTATGGTTTCTAATCTTTATAAAGATATACAGTCATTTATGTATATGTGGTATGAAGTAGAAATCTTCTAGAGGAACCAAGAGAACTTAAGAGATGAGGAGGGGAAATGGAAGGATTGAGAACAGGATGAGGGACACATTCAACATGCAATGTATACTGTTTATCCCACTGGGCAAGAATAAGACCATGACTACAATTTTGGACCCAAATTTAAAGCAAGATTTAATTAAATACTGGCCAGAACAATAGACACTGACCAGATCCATGCTCAAGATTCCTAGCGAGAGGCCACAAATTATGTTAGTCAGGTGTTTATTAAAGGCAAAACCCACAAGGCTATGTTTTTCCTGGCTTCTTTCAATGGGGGCAAACATACATCCTGACATACTTCCTGCCTATGTGTGATCAAGCACGTCCTGTGCAGTTGGGGCAATCAACCCTGTTTATAGAAGTGAAAACGCCTAGCTTGTGATCTTACATAAACAGCCCCAGCATTCCAGAAACTGACTTGTCCTTGGGCAAATGGGGCTAACAGGTTAGAGGTATTTTTGTTTTACTGATCGCTTAAGCACAATAATTTAAACTTAAAACATAACTTTAGCTTTTAAAATACTTGTAGAAAAATATCCTTCTGTAACACAGAACTGTGAACTACCACTGACTCAGAGTCTACCAATCTACTGTACATAATCTATAATATTTAGTGCTGTTGGTATCTAAGGCCTCCCATATTCCTAGGTGATTGAACCACTCTCTTATACCACTCCTCTTGACAAAACACATGACTATTTACTATTTCTCAAAAATGCCCTACTTGTTCATCTCTCTGTGTCTTTGCCCATGTCTCCTTTTCTTAAATGAAAATGGCCCCCACAGGCTCATATGTTTGAATTCTTGTTCCCCACTTGGTAGAACTAACTGATTAGGAAGGATTAGGTGGTGCAATCTTGCTGGAGGAAGTGTGTCACTAGGGGCAGCCTTTGAGGTTTCAAAAGACTCATGCCATTCTCTGTGTGCTCTTTGCCTCTTACTGACCATGCAAGATGTGAGCTCTCAGCTGTTCCTGCTGCCATTATTGGAATTACTCAAATGTCCTTTACTATATAATGTACTGTTACCTGACTATTTTTGATACACTGTTTTCTCTCTCCTAAGTAGTATCTGCTTAATGTTTGTAATGGATATCTTTGAGTGCATAGTCACCAGGGAGTGGAACTGTTTAGAGGATTAGGTGTGGCCTTGTTCAAGGAAGTGTGTAACTGGGGGTGGGCTTTGAGATTTCAAAAGCCCATACACGGCCCAGTCTCTCTCTCTCTCTCTCTCTCTCTCTCTCTCTCTCTCTCTCTCTCTCTCTCTCTCTCTCTCTCTCTCTCTCTCTCTCTTGTTCTGTAAATCAGAATGTAATTCTCAGTGACTTCTTTAGCATCATGCCTGCCTGTCTGCCTGCCTGCCTGCCAGATGCCATGATGACAGTGGACTTGCCTCTGAAACTTGCCCCCAAATAAATACTTTATAAGAGTTGCCTTGGTTATGATGTCTCTTCACAGCAATAGAACAGTGACTAAGATAGAAGATGGTAACAGGAAGTGGTGTATTGCTGTGATAGACCTGTCCATACTGTTTATTTAAAGAATATGGAAGACTTCAGGACTTTGGACTAGAAAACCAGTTGAATACTGCAAACAGGGCTTCATGGTCCATACTAATAGGAGAATACAAAATAGTGGTGCTAAGGGCCATGTGAACTGTGAGGGTTCAGCTCCAGAGTTTCAGAGGGGAAGAATATCATCTGCTGACCTGGAGACCATTCTTGTGCTATTTTGGTGAAGAATGTGGTTGCTTTTTGCCCTTCCCCTAAAAATCTGTTTAATGCTAAATTCAAGAGTTTTGGATTAATGGCATTGGTAGAGGAGATTAAAAGATGCCCTAGTATTGGCTGTGTCATGTGGTTATTAGGGATCACTCTTATGCAGGTCTACAGTGTGATGGCTAGGAAAACACTGATCTGTACCAGGTAACCTCCTTAGTAGCTTTGCACTGAATTCCTAAAAGATGGGCTCCTAGCAACCTGCACCCTCCCCGAATGATATGACTGCTGTGAGGTAACCACTTGTTCTGGCTTTGGTAAACCTGCTTATCTCTGTGTCGTCAAGGAGGAGACAGCTCCTTTATCACTGTTTAACAGGGAGAGAGAAGGACAGCTCCTTACAGCTGAGAGGCGGGAAGCAGTTTCTCAAGCATCTGCAAATTCCACCTTTAAAAAACCCTTTGACTAGTTCTTTCTGGGTGCCACGCCTTCAATTTGGCTTTAAGGCTGTTGCCCTGTTAACGGTAATAATAAACATATTGAATTATAATTTGGATTGAGTCTGTGGTCCTTTCTCAAAGTCTCAAAGTCCATAACAAATGAAAAAGAGCAAGCAGGGCAAAAAGAAATGCAAAAATGTACAGTTTGAGGAGAAAAGAAACACCAAGAAAATTTTTAATTTTGAGCCAAGTGCAGTGCTCAAAGACATACAAAGTTTAAAGAAAAGCCTGATGCTAAATGGAATAAAGGGAGTGCTAACCTCAGGGCAAGACCCCATCCAGCTAAGCTTCCAACTTGGGAGAAGGAAATAAAGGAAAGCTTAAGCAGTGAAAGAAACCATTAACAATAGAAAGCTGTTGCAAGTGTAATCCAAGGAGAGGGTGAAGTAGCGGCACCAGGAAGCAGCAAAACTTGCTGCTTTCAAGTCGAAGATACAAAAAAAGGGGTTGTTGACTCTCCCTCTGCAGCTAAGGAAAGCCATGGAGGCCAGGTGTGTGTTAGAGGCCACTGGGAGAAGCTGTGAGGGTAAAGTCTGCATTGCGTCCTAGACCCCAAGATGTCGGAGATGCCAGAGGCTTTGGATACCTGCCAAGGAGAGCTGAAGACTGGTTGACGAACCAGCCCTAGAGCGAGAAGTAAGCAATTGGAGAGCTGAAGAGCACTTTGATATCAGACATGAGATGCAGAGTTTGGAGTTTGCTCTCCTGGTTTTCCGTCTTGCTCTGGTCTCACTATGCTCCTTTTCCTCCCTTTTGGAATGGTAATATATATCCTGTGCCATTGTATGTTGGAAGCATGTGATTTGTTTTTTGCTTTTGTTTTGACGTGGGGTTACAGTTAAGAGATTGCCTTATGGACTTTTAAATAGTCAAGAATGAAAGACTATGGGGCATTTCACATTTTGATATGGCCACTAGCCTATAGAGACCAGGGAGTGGAATGTGGTGGTTAGAATAGGAATGGCCCCCATAGGCTCATATGTTTGAATGCTTAGTGGAACCAGGAGAACTGTTTGAGGATTAGAAGGATTAGTACAACCTTGTCGCAGGAAGTGTGTTAGTAGAGGTGGGCTTTGAGGTTTCAAAAGCACATGCCAGGCCGAGTGTCCCTCTCTGCCTGCTGTCTGTGGATCAGGAATGTAGCTCTCAGCTACTTCTTCAGCACCAAGCCTGCCTGTCTGTTGCTATGCTCCCTACCATGATGACAGCGTACTCACCTCTGAAATGGTAAACAAGCTCCCAATTAAATGCTTTATTTTATGAGTTGCCTTGGTCACACTGTCTCTTCACAGCAATAAAACAGTGACTAGGATAATGTTTCTATTTGCCACAACACAGGATTTAATCCACGGTGTTGTCAAAAACAGACATGTAGGGCTGGAACAATGGCTCAGCAGTTAAGAATATTGGCTTCTTTCCAGAGGACCCAGGTTCAATTCTTAGCAGATGGTAGTCTCAGCCATCTGTCACTCCAGTCTCAGAGAATCCAGCACCCTCTTCCAGTCTCTATGGGCACCAGGCAAATATGTGGTACAGAGAAGTAAATGGAGGCAAAACACCATACACATAAAATAAAAATAATAATTAAAAAGTAGGCAATCTGATTGACTTAAATAGATAAGAGCAATTAGTCAGGTGCTGAGGATGTGGTGGGAGAAGGAAGGCCTGTGTCTTGGCTGAGCAGTGTTTTCCACCAGTCTTAATATTATTGGCTTCAATTCTGTTTCCACCTTTGTAACTCCCAGGTTCTCTAGTTTGCCATCTAACAAATGGCAATACTCAGCACACACAGCCTGTGAGGAGTGTTCCAGAAAATACAGTGTCACTCATGGGCTGGGTTGGTTTCTTTCTGTATTTAATTTTTGACTTATATATTTAATGTAAGTGGTAAAGAGAATATTTCAAAAGAACTTTAATGCTATTTCTATAAGTAAAATCTAGTTTAACAAATAAAATCATGATCTGGATTGGTAGGAAATTATTCTAAAATTGGATTATCTATTTTTTACTTGTTTTATGAAATGCTGGGAATAGAACCCATCTCCTCAGCACATACATAAAAGGGACCACAAAGCTAATTGTTTAAAGCATACTTGAAAGTCTAAGCAACATGGAAATAAAACTAAAAAACACAAGTCAGTGTGCTACTGAGTCGACCAAATAATTTTTGTTTAATAGGTTTTATTTTTTTTTAGGTGTTTTTTACTCTCCAAGTAAAACTGCACATGAATTTCAAAGACAAATAACTCAAGGACAGAGCAGAACATATGGTGCAGTGTCTGTTCTGGACACAGCAAACCACACCAAAGGAAGCACAGCAGCAGGCAAAAGCACCCTGTACCTAAAATTTAAAAAGAAAGGAATCAACAGTCATACAATGGGCAATAAGAAGTAGTACATTTTTGCTTAATTTTTTTCTGAATGAAAAGCATTTTTTAAAAGAATGCCTCATTTACATTTTAAATGAAAAAAATTAACACCATGGTCTATGAGAAAGATGTTTATTTTTAACAATATTAAAACAAATTATTGTGAAGTTCTACAACACAGTAAACATGTATGGAATTCACCTTTCAGAAAACGCTTCTGGTACAAATGCAGTGAAGCCACATACAGAATTCCAGTTATTTGCCCAGAACTTTTCAAAACTATTTATTCACATTGTTCATCAATGTTCTTCATAGAATTGCTTCATTTTGTAAAAGTTTCAAAGCCCCATTATAGAATGTGCTTACATTGATTGACATTTTAAAATTCAGTCCATTATTACTTCACTAATGTACACATTAAAAGACATTTAAAACATTAGTCTTTATATTAATATACCATTCCTCCACAGAATCATGGCAAGTGATTGAACAGCCACATGTAAATAAAGTGATATCTGAGTTTCCTTCTGTGATTTAAAGTTTGAAAAGCGGGAGGTGTTTTGTTTCTGTTTATTCCCTTAACTGATTTTCTATTATTTTTGTTTACACAATTTTAATTTTATGATTTGGTAAAGACTAATGTTTTTTTAAAAAGAAAGATTTTAGTAAAATTAAATAGTAAAATTAACATCTAACTGCTACTCAAAATTATACACATTCTCTTACGAACATCTGCACCTCCTTTTGATTTTGCCAGAATTATATGTACAGAGAATCATAAGTATCAGCTCATCTGATTAGACTCATTTTCTTATAAAGAAAAACACCCTGTGCAATGAAAAATATCCTTGCACAAAGATACTATTATATGACTAATATTGAACACATATTCAATAAACTTCCTACCTTGTATTCTTTCAAGTTTAAAATAAAATTAATTAGAAAACATTAAGTATAAAAATTATGTCAGAAATTTAAGACTGTACTGAATATGGGATAAGATTACATCTTTCTCAATGAATGTAAGTCTTATAAAATGAGCAGCACTGTGGTACAGACAGCACACTCCACCTACTGACTGTCTAAACTGAACATGAATTGTGGGACTTAGAATATTCTGAGATAATACTAAAACTCAAATTATTTCATGAATAATCTGAAAACTGCTAGCTACAACTGGTGATGGTTAAATATGATGTAAACACTTCCTTTCTTTTGTGTAGTTCTGTTAGGTTTTTCAAGTATAAGCAGTCCTCGTAAAAGACATGTACCTTTACTTCCATGTCTAAATCATAATCAGAAGCCACAATTATATTCTTTACTTATTTGAAAACACAAAACTGTGGAAGAAACCATCAGCTGTGCCCAGAATATTTTCTAAAGTTTTAAATCATTTTTATTAGTTACAGTGATTTCATTGCATACAACACGGTGGCATGTAAACTTACATTCAAAGGCTTCTGTTGTGCATATGCTAAAGTGGGATTTTCCTGAGATAAACTATCCTGCTGGCATAAAGCTGTATTCACATTGCAATCTGAATTATAATCTGACATCAACCTCAACTGAGCACTAATATTGTTTCACCATCAGTTGATATGCACAGTATTTCTTTGCAGTGGACTAGTCATCAATCTAGTATTAAACAATGTGATTATAAAATTTTGTTTAAAATGAATTCCCAAACCATACCAAGATACAGTGGAACAGGTACTTTAGATGTATCTATGTTTTCTCTTCACATGTAAACAGGAATCTCTTCTAACATTAATTAATTCAACAGGAACAGAGCATTGTAAAAGTTAAAACATTCCCCAGATATCCATGTTGCATGTTTAAAGATCAGATAAGCATCAATTCAATTTGAAGGTTTGCTCTTGAATTTAGTAACCAAATAGGATCCCATCCTTAGATTTTTAATGACGAAGTCATGCACAGGAAATAATTTCTCATTGGATGGCCTCAGAAATGCTGCTGAGATAGTCTTCAGACTTCATTATAAAATTTGTCCACTCCTGACAAATATCCTCCAGGGAGAACTCGTCACCACCATATTCCAGAGGAAGAACGTCTGGGAAGTGCTGAAGCAGGCTTGATTTGTAATTGTTCCCATGCAGATGAATCTGAAATAGCCACAGTGTTTTAGAAGGTGTTGGCTTTGACTTCACCATGCTAGAAGCATTTCCAGTGGAAAAACAAACCCTACAAAGTATGATATACCAAGGCTAGCAAGTACATATATATACTGCACCCTTTGTTCTTCTATTTTCCAATCTAGGAATGGTACTTATATTTAGATGGTGCTGATGTGAATGATAATTTTATTGTTCTCTTTGATTTGCATTTGTATATTTACAAAAGGATGATAAAATTTACTACCTGATATTAATTCATAGTAAATAGAAGCATATAGCTGCACCCATAATTAGGCTCACGAGGAGTAATTTATATGGTTACAGTCAATGGATGCAATACCATCAAGAAATTATAACAGTTGTGAGCCCTAAATTTTCTTTTCAAATTTTAAAAAATGACTGTAGATTGCCAATAAAGGCAAGATAAAGCAAGCCACAGAAAGCAAAAGTAGATCTTGCTAAAGAAGAAAAGCAAAAATACCTTTCCCATAGCTAGGGGTGTAGAAGGACATGACACTCACATGCTTACAGATAATACTAGAGAGAACAGAGTTGTTAAACACATGGGCTTTTTTCTTCAATGGACAAAATTGACATCTGTTCACCAAGAAGGCTGGAGTGGATGTTGTTTGATAACTTGATGATCTTTTGCTATTCTGTTGACCTAGCCATCACTCCAATCCCCCAGACTCCTGAGGATTGTTTCTCTGTCAATATAACACATTCTTATGAAAAAGGCCCCATGGACTTTGCAAAAGATGCTTGTTTTTTGCTGTTATGCTTATTACAAACCCTTCCTCCCTAGACCCTTATCCTTCTCAGTCAATAGAACCCATCCTTGTAGAAGAGGTCACTAGTGCTTTCCAAAAGAGATGTGCTTTGCAAAAAAGTTTCAATATAGCCCTGCCTTAAGCTTTGTTGTGACAATTGTCAGGAGGAAACTTTTTTCCCCCAAGTTTTACTGTGTTTAACTATGGAAAAGATAAACCACTTGGGGTCAGACTCCAGATGATCCAGCCTGGCTAACTAAAGTCATGCTGAACCGAGTTTCATTCTTGCCTCTCTGCGGATCATTTCCCAGCAGAGCTGGCAGGGACACTCACATAGAGGAAGATGTTCATCAGTGCTTTCAGCAACCATTTGATAAGAACCTATATGTGCTAGCACGTGAGGGTTGGGAATGGAGAGATGGCTCAGTGAACCTTAGTTCCCAGCACCCACACTGGGCAGTCTTAACTCCAGCTCCATGGATCTGATGCCCTCTCTGGCCACCTTGGATATTTCATACACACACACACACACACACACACACACACACACACACACACACACTTTAAAAAAATCTTTTTAAAGGAAAAAGAAATGAATGATAAGTATCCATACTTAAGAACCTCAGATCCCAACCCTTGACTTTTTTCGACTACCTAAGATGCTATCAGTTAGCTGAGAAGACATTCTATCTTCTCGGGAAAGGAGAAATATTGAACTGTATATTGCTGTCGAGAAGCTGAGAAGGAAGAGTGCCTGAGTTTGGCTTCCCATTTTGGCTAGTCTGCTGTGAGTTAACATTCACCAAGCTGCCTCACTTAACAGCTCAGTTTCTAAAGTTTTTGTCTTTTTGGTTCATATTCTCCCTTTTCATTAGACTCAGTTATTCTCAGTTTTGTTCTTAATTGTTCAGAATATAACCCAAAATAGATATGCTTATTTTTAGAACGTTAAGAGTTAATCAGATGATATCTGGTATTACTAAGTAACACTAAAAGGAAAACAAAATGGCCTGTATAAAACACTAAAATGCAAAGTAGCCAGAAGTGGCCGGCTTCACTAGAGCTGACAATTTAGGGATGATTTTTCTTAATGACAGAAAGAAATTGGCCTGGAGAGATAAGATGGCTTGATGCTCTTTTAGAGACCAGAGTTCAGTTCCCAGCACCTATATCAGGTGGTTCCCAACCACATGTAACTCCAGCTCCAAGAGATCTGACACTCTCTTCTGGCCTCCAGGACACCTGCACTCACAGCACATCCCTCCACACGGACATACCCATAACTAAAGAATAGAACAAATCTTTTTTTTTTTTAAGACAGAAATACCCATTGACAGTCACAAATAACAATAGAAATCCTAGAAAGAAGGAGAGGGATTTGCTGGGAAGAAGCAGTTCAATGGCAGTGGAGGAACCTGGGAAAGGGTAAGGGGTGGCGGAGGAGCAAAATACATTAGACACATGCTTGGAATTGTCAAAGAATAAGGAGATCCATTTAAGGAAAATAAAGGGAAAGAAATACCAACTGGATTGCTTAATCTGTGAAGAATCTTTCTAGGGTCATAATGTTCTGACCAAGTATAAGATGTTATGCTTTCTGAAGATGGAAGAATAGTTTCTGGACTTCTAAGTATCTCATTATAATGAATACCATCACTACTGTTATTTTTTAGGTTTGAATCACAAAGTTCTTCCAAAACCACTTGTAGCAGGCGAATGGTGCACACCTGTGCATTCCCCAGCTTCTCAGAAAGCTGAGGTGGGAGGGTCACTTGAACCTAGAAAAGAGAGTCAAACTGGACAACTTAACAACACCCTGAACGAAAGCTGTAAGGATGTTCCTCCACAGGCTAGTACAACACATCCACATAACTTGGAAGTCAAAACAAGATTAAAAACAGAGATTTTGCTACTAACTCAGCCTTCACTCACTGTCCCTGGATCATTTGGGAATCATCCATATTTCTGTTTATCCTGACAAAACACTTTTTTGTGCAAACATAATGTTTTCATGGAAAAGGCAGCAAAACCACCAACACGGATCTGCCTGGTATGCATCTCATCTTAAAACACACCCTGCAGGCTTGTGTGAGTTTGTCATAGCTCCTTCCACCAGCCCCTCGCGATGGATGCTCGATTGTCTTAATCTTTTTCTGTATCTACGCTTTTGTTGGTGCACAGCTCTAGCTTGTCATAACTATTACCACACTGCCCTCTACAGGGAATGCACTTTACACTCCAGTGATACACGCATGTCCGTTTCCCCAGGGTCTCACAGCCAGTAATGCTAGGTTTTTTTAAGTAAATTTTAATTTATAAGAGTAGTTGTCATGTTTGATAAGTATTTGCAATATTGGTCCAGTGGTTTATGGCCAAGGGACATGGGAATATAGTAAAAAAAAACCCTGTCCTTAAATAGGAAGAGGTAAGAATGTTCTCAGGAGATATAATCACTTGAATATATTTTACTCACCCGGCCCTTAATCTTTTCAGTCAGAAATGGTTTAATCATGGAAAAGACAGCATGGAAAATGACTGGTTCATTTATCAAATGGATGCCACGAACTTTCAATGGAAAGGAATCCTTTTGAAAGTAAAGAAAAAAAAACCTTAATAACACAACATAAATACTGCAGTTACATTCCTAAAGACAAGTCTCTTCTAGGAACACATTATAAGTTTATGGTAGGGGTCTGGAAGATGACTCATTGGGTAAAGTGCTTGCTATACAAGCATGGAGACCTGAATTCGGACCACAAGCAACCATGTAAACAGCTGGCATGGCTGTGCCTGTCCCAGTGCAGAAGAGCAGAGGCAAGCGGATCCCTACTCTAACCAGTCTAGCAGAAATGATGAGGTGTAGGTTGATTGTAAGACCCTGTCTCAAAAAAAAGTGGAGAGAAATAGAAAACATTAACCTCTGTCCTCTATGTATGTATGGGCGAGTGTGCATGAGCACACACACACACACACACACACACACACACACACACATCACATTTACAGCAGACTCTAAAGTGTAATTCCATTTTCAAAATCGTTTATTCCATCAATATGAAAGCCTGGTTTATCTATCACTGCCAGTGGACTCAAAAAAGATCTGCAGGAAGTTTTTTCCTAATAGCTTAGACCAAGTATGTTAACAGCCATGCATACACTTTCACCAGAAAATCCACTCCCTGGTCACACATAAAGCTTCTCCTAAGGAAACAATGGCAATTTAGGGCACTTTTTTAATTTAGTATTTTTACCAAAAATATTTTTAGAGGAAAAAAATCAAACATCCATGAAAATTGAAAGAATATAACAATAAGTGCACACTTTTTAAATTTTGACTTTGGGATATATCTTTAGTAACAAAGTCACACACTGCTTAAAAAGCTTAAAAGGTTAATAACCTGAAAGAAAAATAAACTCATCAATAGCTTTCTTATCCAAAAGTTTAGTCATTACTGTTAATGCAGACTTTTTCCTCTTTTATGAAGACTATCTTCCCCTTCTTGCCCTTTTGAAATGTATTATTAATTGGGTTTTTCCCACATTCTATATATAATTTTATTTAAACTTAATTGGCAATATGTCCTCTAAGCATCTTGCATTCTGTTCCGTCTCATTGTTGTAATATGATTTGTGGTGAGCATTGTGAGTTTTAGCATTGTTGAGATGGTCCAACAAATGGATATGTCATCGTTTAAGTGATCACTTTCCTATCTCTGGGCAAGTAAGTTGTATCTAAATTTCCTCTATTGGAAGTCATGCTGCAGGCACTGTCTGTGTACAGGAAGAGAGGTGACTGTAGAAAGCTTTTACATCAGCAGATCTGGACTAGGATCCTTAGGTCGCTGCTGATTTGAAGTGGTCATTGTCTGCCATCACCCGGGATGGCCATTAAGTAGAAAAGCATTTGGAAGACTTAGGAATCTAGAGCATAGTAAACTATTATTGCTACAACGTACAAAGCCCTTACTATAACATGACTATTTGTTAACTGGGTCCCAGAAGTATAATTACTAGGTTAAAGATAATGGCTTTTAAAAAAGACTTTGGGGGCTAGAAAGATGGCTCAGTCCGTCACCCGCTTGCCATGCAAACATTAGGACTTGGGTTTGATCCCCAAATTCTTGAGGTAGGGGGAGCTGAGCATGTTGGCATATGCTTATAATCCTAGCACTGAGGTAGTGGAGAAGAGCCCCTAGGTTCATTGGCAGCCAGCCTAGCCTAATCAGTGAAGGCCAATGACAGACTGTGTCTCAAAATAGGGTAAATGGCACCTGAGGAATGACACCTAACGTTGTCCACTGGCTTCCTTATATACATTCACCCATGCACAGGTACACACACAAGAACACAGGTATATACATAAAGACTTGATTTCTGAAGAAAGGCTTATCAATTTATAGCTAGCAAGACATGTGAAATCTTACTGTATCCTTGTTATATTTTTTTGTAGCAGGCTTTATCGACTGTCAGCCCCCAAACCATGACATGGAGACTTATTATTTATTATGAATGCTCAGCCTTAGCTTAGGCTTGTTTCTGGTTAGCTTTTTTAACTTAAATTAACCCATTTCTATTAATCTATGTGCTAGCCCAAGACTCGTTTCCCTCATCAGTGTACTGTCCATCCTGCTTTCCTGCTTCCTCCGTGTCTGGCTGGCTGGGCCCCAGCTGGCTGGCTCCCCTTTTCTCTTTTCCCACCAGTCCCACCTATCCCTCTTCTGCCTAGCTATTGATCGTTAATCTTTTTATTGGACCAACCAGCTTCCTTAGGCAGGTAAGGTGAAAGGGCAGCACAGCTTTATGTAGTTAAACAAATTCATCATAAACAAAAGCAACACACCTTTACATAACTAAACAATTATTCTGCAACACAAACAAATGCAACACATCTTTACATAGTTAAAAAAAATTCTATTCCATAACAACTTTTTAGTCAACTTTTGTTGTTACTGTTTTTTTATGACATCAGATCTCATGTAGCCCACCCAGGCTGGCCTTCTGATCCTCCTGTTTGTACCAGCCAAAGGCTGGAATTTCAGATGTGTTCTACCATGCCTGTCTTGAGCCAACTTTTTAATTTAGGAAGAAAACTTAAATAACAAAAATAAAACAAAATCACTTTTATATTATAATGTATACATTCTGTATTTACTTAGTTTGAATGTATTTATTTTGAAGTTTGTTAAATTTTTAATAAATTAATTATGTCTACTGCTAACATTGTTTAAATATATATCTATCATTTCTAAAATGTAAGTTTCTAAAACTGTACAAACACAATTAAACACTATTATATATTTAATACCTGACTGTTAGATATATATACTCACTGCTGTGGGATGGTCTGTATGTCAAATGTGTTGCTGATTGGTCAATAAATAAATCACTGATTGGTCAGTGGCCAGGCAGGAAGTATAGGCGGGACTAACAGAGAGGAGAATTGAGAGAACAGGAAGCTGGGTGAGAGAGACACTGCCAGCCGCCATCAGGACAAGGAAGATGTAAAGTACTGGTAAGCCACAAGCCACGTGGCAAGGTATAGATTAATAGAAATGGATTAATTTAAGCTGTAAGAACAGTTAGCAAGAAGCCTGCCACGGCCATACAGTTTGTAACCAATATAAGTCTCTGTGTTTACTTGGTCGGGTCTGAGAGGCTGTGGGACTGGCGGGTGTCAGAGATTTGTCCTGACTGTGGGCTAGGCAGGAAAACTCAAGCTACAAATGGCGTCCAACGTGGTGGCAAGAGTTTCCACCTAAAACCTGAGAAAAAAGATTCTAAAATGGAGCTAAAAACAGTTTCTAGTTGTCTCTTTCAAGTTAGCGGCAGCCTGCTGGTTTGAGCTACTGGCGGGTTCCTAGCGTGCGCGCTCGACCTTCGGTATGGCGGGAATGAGGCCTCTGCAAGTGGCACATTAAGCTGCTTGATGGATTTAGCCTTTGCTAGTACAAAACAACAAAAAAAAGAGGTTTCTGGGCTACATGCTGCTTGGATAAAAGCATAGACCCACGATGGCTCCCAGAGCTGGTGGTAAGCATACCGCTGCCATGTTGGGAAGCTGAAGTGGGTGGAGCCAGCAGCGCCAGCGCCATTTCAGGCTTAGAAGGCTGCAGTTTAAAGCAATAGGCTCAAGCTAATATAAAAAAAATAAGCCACGTAAAGATGGCTACCACACAGAGAATCTGGATTATGTTCTCTTTGATATTCGTAACTAAAGAAAAACATTTGATTACAAAAGCTGTTGAGTTATGCCAAAATGTATATTTTAAAGGTACCTTGACTTCAAAATTTGGATGTAAAGATATGTTGCTTTGGAAAGGAGGCTCTGCTTTTGTTTCCACAGAAAGCCAGAGGCTATGGATTTGTTCCAGATTAAGATACATCAGGTTTGACCAGTCAAGACCCCCTGAAAGGTCTCCGATGACACCATGGCCCAGATGATCCAACATCCAGAATGGTTTGAAGGCAACTGGCTCAGACAATACAGCCTCATGGACTACTCCATAATCCTAAAGTATTCTTTGTGTCCCCATAAGATACAGCAACCCCCTCCAGCAGGAAGTAGTAAGAGAAGCTACGCCCAAATTCCCAAATATACCAAGCTGACTTTGGAGATGTGTAAAGGTTAAAACCTTCCTTTTTAAGAAAAGAAAAGGGGAAGTGCTGTGGGATGGTCTGTATGTCAAATGTGTTGCTGATTGGTTAATAAATAAATCACTGATTGGCCAGTGGCCAGGCAGGAAGTATAGGCGGGACTAACAGAGAGGAGAATTGAGAGAACAGGAAGCTGGGTGAGAGAGACACTGCCAGCCGCCATCAGGACAAGGAAGATGTAAAGTACTGGTAAGCCACAAGCCACGTGGCAAGGTATAGATTAATAGAAATGGATTAATTTAAGCTGTAAGAACAGTTAGCAAGAAGCCTGCCACGGCCATACAGTTTGTAACCAATATAAGTCTCTGTGTTTACTTGGTCGGGTCTGAGAGGCTGTGGGACTGGCGGGTGAGAGAGATTTATCCTGACTGTGGGCCAGGCAGGAAAACATTAGCAACATACTCACTGTAAGTACAGCAGCAATCTTTTTGGCTACAGATGGGGTAATCTGGAAAGCGTGCGAAATCTGCCAGCCTTCCAGGTCAAATATGGCCTTGACTCCATTCCGCTGAGTTTCCACCTCCTGTACAATGAGCTCGGATGTGATCAGACTTACACGAAACACATCATAGGCTGTAAAAACTTTCGGGTCCCAGGACGCTACAATAAATAAATAAAGACATTCCATCTTAGCATTGGGTGAAGAATCAGAAAGTTTCTTTAAGGGAACAAATGAATTTAAGACCCAAAGGATGTGTAGAAATAAAATCATGAACAAGGGATCATGAGTTAAGTAATAGATTGAATCGAAGTGCAAATATTTGCCTGCTTCTCCGTGCTTCCTTAAATTTCTGGAAATGAATAGATTTTAAGAGCACCGACTAAGAATGAATGCAGATCAAATTGGATTGATAAATGAAGTCACATCATCACCTCAAGAGAGGGCCGTGCCTAGGAATGGACATGTTTACTGCCCCGACAGTGCTTCAAACTCAGAAGTGTGAGCCTGGGTTGCCATCAGCAGCAAGGATTATAGCAACTGGATGGATCTGAACTAGACCCACATGCTCATGTGCTGCAGGTGTGGTTACTAGTGCATCAGCATTCAGAGGTCCTCCTGTTTGGAGGGAACTAGCTAATGAGGGCTCTAAGCTCATCAGTGGACTAAGGCATCTATGGATTCAATCATGAGTGGATTGGGGGGGTGGCACTGAGAACTTTGGAAATAGGGCCTGGTTGGAGGAAGTAGGTCATTAGGTGTGAGCACTTGAAGAGGATCTTTTGTCTCTTCTTCTCACTTGTTGACTCCTGGACACCATAATCCTGTCAGGTTCCCTCCATCATGCTCTCCCTGTTGCAGTACTCCGCACCCACACAAGCCCACAGTAATTAAGCCAACCAATGACGGGTCTAAACCTCCAGAACCAGTCTTTCCTCCTCTCCCATTGTTTTCCTCAGGAACCCTGTCACAATGATGGACAGATGACTAACACACCAACCAAAGAGGTTTCTACGGGAAAAGCCTGTGGAGCAGATAGACAAACTGGTCATCTGCCAGATCTCAGGGACCAGCACAGAGCAGTCACGTCCCTACAGGCTTGAGCAGGAAGCTGGGCTTAGAAAGGCAACTATACACACCTAGAGAAAACAAAGAGTACCTACAGTGAGAGGAGGTACTGATACTCTTGTCCACACAGCCTGTTCCTCCCCACCATTCTTCAGACAGGTCATGGCCAGCAGAAATGATAGTAGTAATGGTCAGGCAAGGAGGTAGTGTTTAAAAGTGATCAAGATTTATCAAAACTTGTCATATGGATACACATACAGGAAGACAGGAACCAAACTCCATATACAAAGCAGTGAAAATCAAGGGAACAATTAAGAGAGAAAACTGAATTAGAAGAAGCAATCATTTCAACAGACATAAGAGAGGACACTGGGAGCTATATGTAAAAATAGATAGGGTCAGAGGGATGGTTCAGTGGGTATAGGCTCTTGCCACCAAGCCTGACTGCCTAGCTCAGTACCAGGAACCAGCATGGTAGAAGGGAAGATTTGACCCCTGAAAGCCTTCTGACCTCACCCATGATGTGACACCCATGCACCCATCTACATACTCACACAAACATAAACACAGTAAATAAATAAACAAGCAAACAAATAATTAAATAAATGTTTTGGAGAGGGTGATTACTGGTGGTAAGACCACATTGCTGAAGACACCACACACTTTGATCACCAAGGGACTTAGAAAAAATCAAGCAGGGACTAACCTGGAAGCCTCCCGACTGCTAGCACTGCTAGCTAACTTTCATAGTGCTGGAAGAGGATCAAAGTCATCAACAGTCTTATCCATCTGTGAACTTGAAGAGCTATCGTAATACCAGATCTAGCAAGATATGCCCACTGTTGCAACAGTGGTGTAACCATTATGCAAGCAACAAACTGCTTCCTGATTGGGTGTGAGGCCTGCCACACGCCTGCTATTGTAAATCTGGTCACAAGACTACAGACAGGAAGTCATAGGCCCTATGGGGGAACAGACGGCTGCTATTTTGCTAAATGGTCCTGATACCAAACTGCGTTCTAAATACTTACCTTTATACTCATAGATTAGTGCAGCTCTCTGCCCTCATTGGAAACATTTCTTTTTGCGGTGGATGGTGGTTAACACAGAAACTTACAAACTGTCAAAGTTGAAAGAAAAGTGACTGTAGAGACTACAGCCATAAATGGGACATCTATCCCACACACACACACACACACACACACACACACACAACACACACCACACACCACACACCACACATACACACACACACACCACACACACACACACCACACCACACACACACCACACCACACCACACACACATACACACCATATACACACACACCACACCACACACCACACACACACACCACACACACACACACCACACACACATACACACCACACACACACACCACACCACACACCACACACACACACCATACACCACACATATACATACAACACACACCACACACACATACACACCACACACACATACACACCACACACACACACCACACAACACACACACATACATACCACACGCACATATACACTATATACACACACACCACACACCACACACATACACACATACACACACCACACACACACACCACACACACACACCACACTACACACACACCACACCACACACCACACCACACACACACATACCACACACACATACACACCACACACACATACACACCACACACACACACCACACCACACACCACACACACACACACCACACCACACACACACACACCACAGCACACGCACATACACACCATATACATACACACCACACACACACCATACACCACACATATACATACAACACACACCACACACACATATACACCACACACGCATACACACCACACACACACACCACACACACATACACACCACACACACACCACACCACACACACACACACACACCACACCACATACACACACCACACCACACACACACCATATACACACACACCACACCACACACCACACACACACACCACATACACACACCACACCACACACACACCATATACACACACACCACACCACACACCACACCACACACACACACCACACACACATACACACCACACCACACACACACCACACACATACACACCACACACACACACCACACAACACACACACATACATACCACACACACATATACACCATATACACATACACCACACACATACACACATACACACACCACACACCACACACACACACCACACACACACACACACCACACCACACACACACACACCACACCACACACACACACACACACACCATACACACATACACACCACACACACATACACACCACACCACACACACACACATACACACACACACACACGACACACACACACACCACACACACACACACATACACACACACACACACACCACACCACACACACACCACACACACACACACACACACACACACACACACACACACACACACACCACACATCAGGGAACATCACAGAAGACCTAGTGGAAAGATTGTAAGAACTAGAGATTGGGGAGGACTGCTGGGAAACACTGTCTTCTGGATGTGACAATGGTGGTGAAAGAACCCCTGACCTCATAGTAGCAGGGGTGGCCTGCACAAGAGCAAGCCAGTGAACATTCCAGCACGGATGGGGCAAGGCTCTGAGTCCCATCCTGGCTGAGAAGCTATTGTCAGTGGATCCTGCTGGGAGAGGGAAAGGCACTTGTCTTCAGGGACGTGGCCCCTGTTCAGTTGTCCATGTGCCACTGTATACTCATTTGATATGGGCAGCACTGATTGGACTTAATGGGTTATTTGAAAAGGACAGGAATTTGGAAAGGGGATGTGGGGGGGGCGGTGTCTGAGAGGAATTGGACAGGTTAGATATGATCAAAATATATTATACACATGTAGGAAATTCTAAAAGAATAAATAAAATACTTTATGTTTAAAAGAATAATTATTTTTAAAAAGACTCAGTTGAAATCTTAGAAATAAAAATTAACTCAACTCAAAAACACCAGTTGAGATGGAGGCAGATGTAGAGATCCACAGCCAAGCACTGGACAAGCTCCCAGAGTCCAGTTGAAGAGAGGGAGGAGGGATTGGAGGAGCCAGGGGAGTCAAGATCACGATGGGGGAACCCACAGAGACAGCTGACCTGAACTCGTGGGAGCTCATGGACTCCGGACCAAAGGGGGCCTGCATGGTCCTAGGCCCTCTGCATGTGAGTGACAGATGTGTAGCATGGTCTGTTTGTGGGCTTCTAGCAATGAGATCAGGACCTGTCCCTGGTGCTTGAGCTGGCTTTCGAGAACCTGTTCCCCATGCTGGGATGCTTTGCCTACAGTTATTCCAGTAGATATAGAAGTGAAACCAGACCAGGGGCAGATGAGAATCTTGAGAAGTATGGTTGGTGAACTACAGGAACCAGGAGTCTGGCTGAGAACAGAAAAGGTGAGAGCAGAAGGGGCAGGTGGAGGCTGGAATGGGACTAAGGAGCAGTTTTGTTTTCAGAGGCTGAAGCTTAACAGTTCTAAATGCTAGCTGGTATTATAAAGCCATGAAGAAAAAGACAAAGATCTAGAAAGGGAAAAAGTGGCCATGGGATTTCTCTTTGATTTACAGCAACTCAAATTCTTGGTAAGAATATGGGAATTATTTATTCAGCTCAAAAATATGACACTTCTTCAGCTGAATACGACAATGATGAAATACAAGCTGAACAAAGGAAATTTGCAGATTATAAAAGCTTCTGAGCCAGCTAACCTGCCAGACCTGTTCCTCCCTGTATTCACTTTCTGTGAGTAGAAAATAAAAGTTCATTTTCTCATCCGAGTAGCTTCAGTTCAAACTTGCAATAGTTATGTGCAGGCTAGCAGCTACGGTATAACAGGATCGTTACAGAAGGTTCTATTGCACAGTACTAGCTAAGTAAACTCCATAAAGAAAGAAATGAGAAATTAGAATTTTAATTTCTTCCCTAGATCCACCTACCATTTATTATTCATTGTGTGCCAGCTAATGTTCTTGACATATGTGTGCATGTGCTATGTAAAACAAGACACAATTCTCATAGCAACTCTGTGTTAACAGGTTTTTACTGTGTGCATTTTACAGATTTCAATAAAGTCAACATGCCCCATAGCTTCAACTCATAATAACTCAACTATGGTTAAATATTCATTGCCAAAATTTGCTTTTGCTGCTGTAGTAAAGTAGTTGCTCTCCAAGGCCTCAAATTATGTCCTCTGTCATGGAGCTGATAAAGGTCCAAATACACTGAAGGGCTCTGCATTCTCTCTCTGCTTTTACTGTACAGACAAGGTACAGAGGGGAGGTGGCGGCCATGGGCTTCATGGAAAAAGTCAGCTACTCCATTAATTCAAGTAAATTGAGAAAGTCCATAAAATCTTATTTTATTCATAAAATACTTCTAAGTTTCTTCCTTTTGTTCTAGAATAACATAGCACACAGGAGGCTTGCAGCATACCTTTCTTTTCTGACCTTCCTTAATCCTATGCATCTTTGAGTTTAAATATCTTTGAGGTAAACAACACATCTTTGTGTGTGTGTGTGTGTGTGTGTGTGTGTGTGTGTGTGTGTGTGTAACATGCACATGTGGCTGTACATGAAGGTAAATGTTGTGTGTCTTTATCATTCTCTGCCTTATTTTTTGAGCCTCAAGCTCACTGATTCAGCTAGACTTACGGTGCAGCAAGCCCCAGGCATCTACCTGTCTCCATCTCTAGGGTTACAGACAAGCACTGGAAAAGGCAATGGCTTTTTACATGGGTCTGGGGGAAGCTGAATTCAGGTCCTTATGCTTACATAGCAAGTTTTTTTACCATCTGATCTGACGTCCCAGTTCCTAAATATCACACTTTTAAGTTCCTATACTCCCAGAGGCCCAGGCTATACAAAAGACCTGCTAGTGTGCTATTAAGGCATTTGTGATTTAAAAAAAAACAAACAAAAAAAAAAACAAAACACATTGGCTTTGTCACTATAAAAAGGTTGTTTTCACCTATTTTGTCTCAGTTAGTTAGAAAAACAAAACGAACAACAAATGCCCAGCCAGGTATTCTAAAGCCCAGACACTTAAAAGGTGGGTGGGGAGGATAAAATAAAACATCTGGATGTTTCAGTTTTATGCTCCTGGAACACAGCTGTCACAGAAAATATAAGCACCACTTAAAAGTGAATCTCAGATAAATTGGGTACAAGATTTAGCGTAAGTATGTCTCAAGCATACCAAAATCTAATTTGTGGTTTATCTGAAATTTAAATTCTACTGGTAACCCTAAGTTTTTATAGTATATTCATTTTTTGATAATTCAAACATATATGTTGGCCAGCCCATCCCTAAGAAGCTTCCTTTGACATGGATGGAGCCACAAAAGAACAGAAAAGCCACTACTGTGTGGTCTGTGGATAATATAAAACCTGGGGCAAGAAATAGAGAATCCAGTCATACTTACTCATGTAATACTTTCAAGAGTTAAAAAACAGCATCTTGCCATCGACAAAGCAACAAGCAATTGAGATAAAGGCAGAGGTCTTACATAGAGGTAAGTAGTGAACACTGATATATGTGCATTTAAAATCTTTAAAGAAGAAACTAGCTGGGCATGGTGGTCTGCCTGTAATCTCACTAAGTAGTAGGAGGCTGAGGGAGGATGATTGCTTGGACCCAGAAGTTCGAAGCCACCTGACCTCAAAGTTCAAAGTCAGCATGGTCAGTATTTTGAGATTCCATTGAAAGAGACAGACAAACAGACAAAGACAGACAGAGATAGATATTTGTAAATATAATTCAAAGACATTCTGTTCCTGAAATGGTTAACTGTTCTTTCAAATGGACTATGAGACAGTGTGGGGAGAGTGAGATTCTCTTCTCTCACCTGGAAGTTTTAACCACACAGAACTAAAAATGTAACAGAGATTATAGGTCTCCAGTTATGGATCTGAAAATTTATTTGGTCTCCTCCAAAGTCATATGCTAGAATTCTACCTCCAAGTTCATGGTACTACTCTGCATGTACTCCTCTGACACATACACATACACACACACACACACACACACAAAGAGCCTGCCATGGTCAGAGGATAATTTTAGGGAGTCAGGTCTTTCCTTTCATTATGGGTTCCAAAGTTCGAACTCAGGCCATCAGACTTTTGTAGCAAGTACTTTTATCTGCTGAGCCATCTTAATAATGTAGTTCACGGTATTAGGAAGTAGATTGGAGAATAAGGGTAGAGTCCTCATGAATGGGATTAGTGCCATTTTAAGAAGTCCCAAGGACTACTGTATTTCTTATACTATGTGAGGGCAGGGTGAGATCTCTGTGTACCAAAAAACAGTCCCTCATCAGAACAAAATCACTGGTGCTTTCATATTGTATTTCACAGCCTCAAGCACTAAGAACAAAATTTCAATTTTTCTAGGCCACCAGTCTATGGGACTGTACTATAGTAGCCTAATGAAATAAGACATTGACCAAAAGAAACACTAGAACACCTAGTCATGAAAGGGAGAGGTAAAATCAAAACAGGACAGAGAAGCAGAGCTGCAGATGACTCACCAATTCTGTAAATAAGAACCCTGCTGCCGGTGGGATCCCTGGACCTCAACACTCCATGGTAGCCAGCCTTCAAAAGTCCAATGATACTTCTAGGGTGTAGATCTGCACTTAATTCTGGACATTCTGCTCGCCATTTATAATAGTTTTTCAGTAACTGAAAAAAAAAAACAAAATTAAATATGGCCATAAATGATGCACATGGTAAACATTTTTAAAACAGTTGAAAGGCTTGATGTTGTGTGTGAACCTTGTCATCTATCATATCAGAATCTGGAAGAGTTTTTTAGTTATAAAAGACAAAGTTCCTTTCATTAAGGATTTGAGATCACAAGAGTTGGCCTTGGACTCAAGACTCAGTCATTTTTAGTTGCCGTCCATAATAGTCTCCCAAAATAGTCACCAATGAGTCTAGACCTTCTGATGTATACCTTCCAGAAAGGGGTGGAATTGGCTTTGGAGCTGAGCTGTACTTATACCCTGATTTGACAAATAGTGTAGTAGTGGAAATGACACTATGCTAGACCTGAAAAGTCTGGTGCCTTCTGAGTTTACTTTTAGGGATAGAGGCATATATAAGATTACTGGATGGTAACAGTTCACATGGAGAGAAGCCTGGGAGATGGAGAGGCCATCCTAAATAGTATACCTTCAGTCAGGTTCCCACTGGATACCATGAGGAGCCAAAATGCATCATCGCACTGAGCCTTGGTCAAGCACAGAACACAGGCAACTGTGGAGTCATGCTGTATGTCAAAAACCTTAAGGGAGATTTCCTACTTAGCAATAGATAACTGAAACACTACCCCTAGAACTTTTAGAACAAGGAATGAAAGTCAATCAAATGAATTAGAAGTAAAGAAACTATACAACTAAAATTTAGATCTTGGAAAAATATAGTTTAAAGGAAACCCATTGCGCCCCCCCCATAGAAGCACCACCATAATTGGCTTGTCAACAAAAGTTATTATCATTTAATTTTCTTTGTGATTTTTGGCATTGTAGTATTTCCTAAATTGACATTGTACTTGTTTAATGCTTAAAGGGTGCTATTAGCCACTTTGAACCTCAGTTAGGTGAAAGGCATTTTGTGGAAACACTAGAAAGATACCTAAGGGAACCTTGTCCTTCGCTGAGTTGGAGTCTTAATCTGGGGAAACTTCATCAAAGGAATTTCATATTTGAAATCCATTATCATGAGCATAATAACTGTAGTCACAAAGCAGTAATAATCCAGAGGAGACCCTACAAATAGCTTATACAGAGGGAGAACTCTCAGCTGAGGAGGAAGTCCCTGGCTGGGACTGAGCTGGAGAAGAGCCAGTTGGACCGTGAGAAAAATGTCACCATGGAGTCCTCTAGGACAGAGCCTCTGTGGTCCTCCCTTCTCTCTCTTTCCTCCCTCTTCCTATTCTCATGCTGTCATCTTCTCTTTCTGTCTGTCTCTCTCATCTCTGCATCTAATAAAGTCCAGTTCACTTAAAAGAGAGAGACTTACTAAAAGTCAAACGCAGCAAAGAAAGAGGAAAGTCAGAGAATTTGCCCGGAAAACTAGTCGGTGACCTAAATAGCCATTTCCAAAGGAAGCAAGAACAAGAGGCACATTGTAGCTCTGATGCATTCATTCTGTCCAATACTATGAATCTCCCTTCCTCCTCCTGTCCTAGGTGGCATCAGAATCGGTGTCAATAGCATTTTATGATGCTCACTTACTTTTCAACAGTTTCCTCAGACAAAAGTAAGCCTTTAAATCCTTATTTGGTGTAAATGTTGAAAGCAGCATCTTGGTGACTATATAGAATAATGGTTTTATTGTCCTGGGAATATCTAAGTGTATCTCGCTATAGAGGATCCTTGAGTTTATGAAGGCAGCGCATTCAGCACGTATCTGTAGAGTGTGGGCTCTCGGAAGATGAAAACATGTTCAATGAAAGAATGGGTCAATCATGAACCCATCAGCTCTGCCCACACTTGAAAAGAATCATTTCCGTAAGTATGAACTATTACTATCATGCGTCTTGACACTTAGATCTCCCAACGGCTCAAAATCCAAATCTTTGGTCATTTATTCCACACTGATAAACAAATTCACAAGTACAGTTTACATAAATGTTAATAATAAAAATAAATTGCCACTAAGCAATTCTCAAGACAAACTCAAGTCCAGAGCAACAGCAACAAAAAACCAGCTACAAATGAATATTTTTTACTATTGTTACTGAAAGCTATCTATTTCAGTCAAATTGGAAGGGTCTATTTAAAATGTTCTATTAGGGTAGGTTCCCTCTTACATTTTTCCACCTGTTTTCAAACCATCACACACACACACACACACACACACACACACACACACACAAAAAACATATTTGTGCCACTATTATGAAGTACAATACCATCTTCTCAGTGTTGCCTTCTAGGTAACTACCATTATCCCACTATATAGGTAATGAAGCCTTGAGAAATTATGTTTATCCACTAAGCAGAATGAAGATTGAAATTTATATATGGTATGATAAATTTCACAAAAAGAAGCTACAGTTTGATGGAAATAGTCAGGAAGAAGAAGAATTTTAAAAGCTTCAAAGTCTTGGCATAAATCATAAAGATGATTAAAGTACTGAGCACACTGTATATGTTTTGGATCATTTTGTTGCTAATAGTATAATAACATAGATGGCACCAGTTATAAAGAGATGAAGTTTATCCTGGCTCACATTTCTGGCCCAAGGTCTAGTGGACCACTAATTCTGTTAGCCTTCTTGCTGGTAGAGTCCTCAGAAAACACCAGGCATTATATGGCAAGACTCAGGGAGTGTATATATATAGCATGGTCTCTCTTGCAAAAACTATCAGTATTCTATCATGAATGCTCCACACTGACCAACTCTTTCCAGAAAAGCCCATTCTAAACACTGTAGTTGGATTATATTTCTGCCGTCTTCATACTTCACCATAGGAATTAAACCTCTATATGAGTTTTGAGGGAACCAATCATATCCAAACCATCACAGCTTAAGACAGAAATGTAAGGAACTGGACAGTTTACTTGTCAAACAGATGGAGGCTATTTTCATGCTACCTGTTCTGAGCTGAAGGAGCCAGTCCCATCTTCCAGCAGCACAGGCTTTCCTGAGCTTCAACCAAGTTCAAAGCCATGTGCCACAGCTTAACAGTTATGTGATACTGATGAGTTACTCTACTGTGCCACAGCTTAACAGTTATGTGAGTACTGGTGTGTTACTCTAGTCTGCCACAGCTTAACAGTTATGTGAGTACTGTTGTGTTACTCTAGTGTGGCACAGCTTAACAGTTATGTGAGTACTGGTGTGTTACTCTAGTCTGCCACAGCTTAACAGCTATGTGAGTACCTGAGGAGTTACTCTACTGTGCCACAGTTTAACAGTGAGTACTGAGGAGTTACTCTATATCTCAATTTCTTGTAAAATGAAAAAAATAGACAATATAAACAGTTCAGCAAAATGCTTGTCATTCTATAAACATGTTGGCTATTAAGACTAGAAAATATAATTTATCATAACTTCAAAAACCAGAAATGAGAAAGTCCATTATAACTGAGGGAATTTTTGAATTTTCTTCCTACAAAACATTAGGGCTTATATACCATGAGTAAAAGAGTTTGCACTAACTAGCACTGCAGAAGAAAATAAAAAGAAAGTTGCATACATTTGCCCTTTCCTCTTTCTTTCCAGTTGGCACACAAGACAGAGGTCACAATCAGAAACTTGGGTTCTGTCCAGTGGACTCAGACACAGTCCTACTAGGCAATTCATCAAGGGTCTAGGCAATAAAAACCATTCAGCAAAAGAGGGAATACAGGAAATGTACACATTCTCAGAGAGGCTACAGACTGATTCTTTATCTTTACCTGCTTTCTCATGACTGTTGAAGAAGCAGCTAAGACCAACAGCCCATAGACTTTGTTATTAGGTATCTCTCTGTATTTTAAGGACTCATTTAAACTTACAAGTAATGCATTTTCATATTCAGTAGCTGCAAAGTACATACTAGTGTATTCCTTGATCATGGTGTTCAGAAACTTCACACCTGGCAATCACAGGGAAAGAAGTGAAGCTGTATGGTTATTTAATTCCTAACATCAAAATAATCTCCCTAAATTGAAATCAGCGTTAAAAAAGACAATCTATCCATAATTCATTTCTAAAGACATTGTTGGATAGAAGCATTTATAAAAGGCCTGGGGATGTAGCTCAGTCATAGACTACTGACCTACCATGTACATGGCCCTGGGTTCAATCCCTCTTCAAAATAGAAAAGAAAGAGAAATAAAGAAAAAGAATTTTACAGTACCCCAACAGAGGCTAGGGGCATGATTCGCTGGCATAGTGAATGTTTATCCTGTGCAAAACTTGAGTTCATTTCCATAACAAGAAAATGCTGGTCCTCTGAAAGGAAAATCACCACAGGAGTGGCAGCATTTGTCAAGATCATGAGGCTCTACAATAAGAATTAATAATAATAATAATAATAATAATAATAATAATAATAATAATAAATACAAACAAGAAACAGTGAAAGGATGGAGGAAGCTCACTTCCCCGGCTCCATGGCTGCTGCACATATGGCAAGTCTTAGTCTTTTTTTTTTAAGAAATTTTTTATTCATTCTACATATCAATTACAGATCCCCCTCCTCCCTTCTTCCACCCCTCCAGCAAGCCTTAGTCTTGATGATGACAAGTTAACTGGCTAGCCTTCTTCTGATACACTGCTGACGTCACCAGAAAAGAAAGCACCAATGAAACCCAGGAGCAAACAAAAACTCGTCAATCCATTTAATCATGTCTAAACATTTCAGTTCTTTCAGAAAGGACGTAGTTAAATAACAGATAGGCTGTAAGCTAAGACAAAGACCTCATTACTTTGATGTAGACAGGTGTTTTTGAAACAAAAAAAAGAATAAATGAGAAACAAAGAAGATAGAAAAAATTAGTTTTAGATATCTAAAATATGATTAACCTCACTTACACCAAAATTAGTGCATATTATAAGGAAAATGAAAAATTGTTTCTCATCTAGCAGGCATAACCAAGTGAAAACTCCCTGAAATGCTGTCGCAGTCCTCAGCACTGAAAATAGCAGCACCATACTGCAGCAACTGATGGATTTGTTCAATAGAGACCCATAAGGGTATGTTCCTATGTGTGGATACAGATGAAGTATAAAGACAAACCAGAATGCAAAGTCAGTGATAGAAGAAAACACCCACCTGACGATGGCATTTTCTGTACTGCTAGACAGAATGAGGATGTAGAGAAAGAGGAACATCACATGAAGGGATAAGTGGCGGGCATGGCAGCACTGGAGTCCCCATGCCTGGATGAAGGCATGAGCAGTGAGCATGGGAGCTAGCACCACCCGGTAACAGTCTCCACAGCCACAAACAGGGAACTGATTAGATACGTTTAATGTAATATCTCCATCTTAAGGGATAATACAGTCCAAAAAAGTGTAAGATGTGTATGCACGTGCTCACACGACATGATTCTGTACAACAAGTGGCTGAGAAAAGCCAAAAGCAGACAAACAAAAACAAAACATACAGGCACCTGTATGAGTGAATACTGACTATAGGTGCGAAGTAACAGGTAATGCATTTCTGGGCACTCAACTACTAACTAAAGTTTGTGGTGGGAATTTTTTTTTCCTTTTTGGAAATTCCTTTGCACTTATTATTATTATTATTTTTATTGCTTGTATTGCTTTTGCCATACGCAGCGTTTATCCAATAGAAGTAGTTTCATAAAATTCGGAGATGTTGGAATTCCGCACCTTAGTATCCCTTGGAGAAAGGTCTTGGTCATGGTCAGGTCTTCCTACTGACCGCTGACCGCTTACTCGGTGCCAAGCACAGGGCTGAGCACATCTTGTTCTAGCAGTTACAGGTTAATGTGCAATTCTCGAAACTACTGTCATGTCCTCACAGTTACTGAACAGATAAGGGCTCTGAGCCCAAGGTACAAATTCAAGGTCGCATCTCTTTGGCCCCAAGACCCCTTCTCAGTGTCCTGTGAATGCCTGAAACACAAAAGAATCGCCCGTTCCGCCCTGGATCCCAAACACTCCAAACTACCTGACAGTAGTGGCATTTTTAGCTCTATTAACATAGACTTTTTCAAGATGCCTTCAGAAGTCCATTTCGTCCTTCTCTGACCGCGCTTGGAGTTACCTACTCAGGTGTGTAGCGGCTGAGCTCCCAAGTCTCCACTTCCTCCAATCCCCGGGACCAAACTAGTTCAAGCGAAGGTCCAGACCGCCGGGACCACAGCCACCGCGGGGAAGGGGAGCGGGGGACACACCCGGGGGTCTGGGCGCACCTGCAGCCACATCGCCACGCTCAGCGCGTGTGGATCCTGCCCGGTGCACACTTACCCGCCAGGCCAGGTCCAGATCGAAATCCCGGGCGCGCAGGAAGCGCAGCAAGAAGGCGTCTGTGAGCGGGTGCGGGGTCTGTGGGACGCCCGCCTCCTCCACTCGGCGCCTCAACTCCGCCAGGCCCGGCTGTACCAGCGGCGAGTGGTCCGGCAGCGCGTTGAGCTGTGGCCCGGCCACTGGCCCCGAACGCATCTCTGCCATGCCCGCCGCGCCACCGCCGCTGCCAGGGCGGCGGGGAAAAGCGTGGGCCCAGCGCCACCCTCCGCCCCCACCCCCCACCCCCACCCCCGCCGTGGCCGCCGCCCCACGCACACTCACCCGGGCAGCCCCGGACTCCCCGCGTCCCTCCGGTGCAAGGGCCACGGCAACCCTCTTAAAGGAACCCACGTGGTGCCCGCGGGTACTGATCACGTCTTTAGGGCTTTCTAGCGGTAGCTGGAGCCAGTCCCAGTTAAGGAAAGTCCTAGTGTTGAAAGTCAAGAATGCGAAGTCAAAAAGTTATTTGGAGTGTTTATGAGTCGGCTGCCAGAGGACCTTTCCCACTCCTTCCCCTTTGTCCCTCCCGCCCCTGCTCCTTTTTCATGAAGCTGTAAAGAGCCTTTAAACAGCTATTTAATAGCTGGTGGCAGAAACTCTAGGCGTCGTCCCGTCCCCCCCCCCCCCCCCCACTCCTTCCTTAAGGCTGAGCTCAGGCCATCTCCAGTATTCTAACTAGTTTCCAAACTGCAATTCTAGGAAGCTACCTTGGCAGTCTGACTGCTCCTCCAGCTCCTTGCTTCTGTCCAGAAAAATGCTTCCCAGATCTTGGCATCTAGCTCTGTTAGAGTCATATACAAATAAAAGGGGAGGTGATGGACGCAGGCACTTTTTAAACATAATAAATGTATGTGTTTAGACTTCACCACGAAACCCTTAAGTGATGGGATCAAAAGGATCGCTGGTGAAGAAGATAAAGATAAGACCCAGATATCCGAAGATGCATAAAAGTACTTTTTCTTTCATTTCCATCCGTTGACATTATCCTAGAATTGAACTGCCACCTAGACAGAAGAGAATCCATAAAACTAATTCCCCTTGAACGTGCAGCACATGCTCACAGAATGCTGGTCTCATGAGTGAAACCAGACCCTTGCCTTTAAGGAACTCAGAAGGTGGCAAGAATGTCTGATGTTTCAGTCATTGTGGCGTGGTTCTTACGTGGCACCCTCTGAACACAACAAAACTCTTGCCTTGGAAAGGTTTTCATTTTTGCGTGGGTTGGGGGTAAAAACAACAGAGAAAAGTCATTAAACATGGTGTAAGAGAACATGATACAACAGGAAACAGGCCAAGCTGGCAGAGATTCTGCAATGATACGGTGTGAACTGAGTCTGGAAGACAGCTGGCTAGGGATGTTTGGGGTTAAGGGGCTGCAAACTTTGACTTCTATGTTGAGGGAGGAAATGGAACAGTGTTAAATAATCAGAATCCAATCTGCAATCTGTTAAGTCTCAAACCTGGGACTAACCTCTGAGGTGCCTATTTAACATACCAAAGCCAGAATGGACCTGGCCACCAGGTTCTCCCAGCATCCCTCAGTCCCTACCTGAACTCCCCAGCCCAGGGGCTATGCTCCCCTTCTCCAAAGGCTCTTCCCTATGTAATTCAGACATTTTTGGTTACCTGCCTTTTGTTTTTTTTTCTTTCCTTTTTTTCTTCACCTTTCGCCCTTTTGACCGATGCTCCTGGTTCCCCTCTTTCCCTCCCCCATGGCTCAGGTTCATGTCCACTAGATGCCTCTGCTTCTAGTTATGCTCTCCCATTTATCTTATTTACAATAAGCTTTCTCCTCCACCATACCTAGGAGCAGTCCCATTCTTTTTTTTTTTTTTTTTTCATTCAGAAACCAAAATGACTGGGGACTGGAGAGTCTAAGATGATTCTTGTGCGGAGATGGAAAAATTCTGGGAATGAAAACTGACACATCAACACAAAAACTCTGAGAAGAGTCGGAGACAGACCTCCGGGCTAATGGAGCCCTGAGAAGGCTTTACAGGGGGGCCCTTTTCCAGACCTTTGTGGCTGCATGGGAAGTACTCCCCAGCAAAGGAGGAAAAGGCCTGCCAGGCAGGAAGAAAGGTATCAGATGGGAATAAACTGCAAGTCTTTCTTGGAGCTCTGAGATATCAAACTGTAAGAGGAACCTGCCCTTTCCAGCAATGCCAGATGTTTGAAAATGTTGACAAGGGTGCTGGTTACTTTCCTGCTCAACATGACACAAACTAGTGTGACCTGGGCAGTTGAGAAACTGCCTCCATCAGACACCTGGGTAATATCTATAGAACATTTTCCTGATTAATGACTTATGTGGGAGGGCCTAGCCCATTATGGATGGTGCCACCAAGGGCAGGGAGGGGGGCTAGATTTTAAAACAAAGCAGGCTGAACAAGCCACAGAACACCTGCCAATGAGCAACTGCCTCGGTGCCCTGTTTCCGTTCCAACCTCCAGGTTCCTGCCTTGCGTTTCTTCCCTGACTTCTCCCAGTGATGCACTCATCCCTGGAAGTGTAAGATGAAAGAAACTCTTCTTAACCCATTTCCTTTTGACCACAATTCTATCACAGCGACAGAAAAGCAAATTAGAACAAGACAGACACAGCATTTTTTCTTCTCTTTCAAAAAGTTGCTTTTTTTTCAAAACTACTTTCTAAATGGTTCCTAGTATTAGCACCTGCGTCTTGGAACTTGGATAGAAAGTTCAGTAAGAGTCCAAGCACATTGACTATCACATCCTTTTTTTTTGGAAAGTTCAGTATATGTGTTTGTTATTTCCGCATCTGCAAAACTCAGAAGCACAAAATTATTTCTATAAACATATAAACAGAGCTAACTTGCAGCCACGGGCAGGGCAAAGGTTTCTGAATACACACCAGGAAGTAGCAGGGGAACTGTGGAGATCAACAAGTAGGCTGAGGAATAGTGTTAAGGCAGAGAAGAATTGGAGAAATGGTGGAGTAGATATGCACAGAAGGATTCCTACAGTAAAAATTAATTACTGGGGGGGGGGGTGCAAACATTCTATTTTTTTCAATAATGTATCTTGAATCTATATTAAAAACTTTTAGATTCTTATATGTTATTAAGGTTTATTGTTGTTTGTTTTGGCTTTTTAAGATACAGGTCTCATTTTGTAGTCCAGGATGACCTGAAACTTGATATCCCCCTGCCTCAGCAGCCCTTTCAACTTCTGGCATCCAAATTCTGGTATGAGCTATCAGGCCCAGCTCAAAACTTAGGAATTCTTGGCATATATTTTTCAAGTGACATTCTTCAATGTTTGCTTGAAGTATTTCTAAATGTGTTGTGCTCATAGTAAATACTGACAAGTTCAGCTTATAATAAGTTTTGGTTTTACTCAATTACCGGGCAAGCCTCAGTGAAACATTTCACAATTAGGATAAGAATTTATACTGTATCAAGCTGATAATAGAAAAATAAATTTAAAAAAGTGAAAAAAAAAGCTCCCAGGGGGGTGGGAGTGGGGGGAAATACTGACAAGTTCTCAATATTCCTAGAATGCAGTCAGGCCTCTGCCACAGACATTCCAAGGAGGGTTTTGGAGCCAATGGTATATTTGTTGCCCTTCTGTAAGGGAACAGAACCAATAGAATGCACCTATCATGAGGGTACTATTATATGGATTCAAATCGTCAAAAGTCACATAGACCCACAATGGCTGTCGATAGTTTGGAGACCTGGAGAACCAGTAGCTGCTAGTGCATGAAGCTGGAACGCTCAGAACAACAATGCTACCCCTGCCCAAGTCTGAAAGCCTGGAAGGCCCCTGGAGAGTGGCTGGTATAAGTCTACTTTCCAAAAACAAAGAACCTAGAGTGACCACAGTAGCAATCCCCACACCTGATGAAGACATGCTGTGCTTGTACACATATGTACACTTGCTGCTCTTCAGGTTTTATTCCCATCTAGGCCTCTGGACTACTGTAGATGTAATTCTGAACGGTTTTATTAAATAAGAAACACAGAGCCAAATGAAGAGTTACCGCCTTCTTACCCCTGGCTGCCGCTGCCGTCCTTCCCCTCAGGAAGAGACCTACTTCCTGTGTGTCTGTCTTTTTATTGACTTTCTGTCTGCCTTCTCATTGGTTGTAAACCCAACCACATGACCTTCTCATCACTGCCTGTCCATACAGACCTCCAGGTCTCTATGGTTGGTATTGAGATTATAGGCGTGTGTCTCTGTGCTGGTGGTGTCCTTGAACACACAGAGATCTGCCTGTCATGTGATCGGGATTAAGGGTGTGTGCTACCACTGCCAGACTTCTGCTAAATGGCTTGTTATTAGCTCTGACCCCCAGGCACTTCTATTTATTAGCATACAAATAAAATCACATTTCAGCACAAATAAAATATCACCATAGACTACTAGATAGTACCAGTTACATTCAGGGCTAGTCTCCTGTCTCAGTCCTCTACTCACATGCCAGTCATCTCTGGAGATACCCTCACAGGTTACCAGTTTTTTAGGCATCGCTCAATCCAAGTTTAACAACCAAGAATGAGTGTTAAAAAATACATGATGAAATTTAAAAAGTGAAAGGAAAAGTAAATATTTATACAACTAATATTGTATTATTAAAATTATTTCCTGATTAGGAGCTGGCCAGGTGGCTCAGCAAATAAGGACACTTGCTGCTCTTTCCCAGAAGACCCACATTCAGTTCACTTTCATTTTTATTTCAGCATCAGTGGATATCTGTAGACCCAGGCTAGGGGCAAAGACAAGTGGATCTGGGGTCTTGCTGGCCAGCCAGTCTAGACAAAACTGGCATTCCTGAGATTCAGTGACATACACTGTCTCAAGGAAAATAAGGTACAGAATGATAAAGGAGATTCCTAATATCAACCTCTGGCAGATGCATCCAAGGATGTACACACACACACACACACACACACACACACACACACACACACACACACACAATTTATCATATATAAATTTAACTGTAATTGACATAGCAATAATGAATCCCAATACTACACACTGAAGCAATGTCATTTTGGAAATCATGTTGGATCTATCTCTTCTGTTTTAAAAAGAGATTCTACATGCATCATTTTTTTTCTGGAATGCACTACAAAATTCATTTTGTATACCACTGAAATACACTTTTCAATCCTTAGCAAACAGCAGTGGTCCCCAAATATCATGAGGTATACAGCGTACAGTACAATGTCCCTT